TAGTCGGATAGCTGGGTCACCCGATTATAACCGGGTGACCCGTTTTAATCGGGTAGCCGGTTTTATTTTCGGGTACCCAGTTGGAAAGGATGATTGACCCGGCGGGTCACGGATAGGGATTTTCAAACCAGGTTGGAACCCTACTGGTGGTATACTTCTTGTTCCTCATCAAGGTTTAGCAAATCCTCAATTGGCAATAGATTACAGAGATTCAATATATCTATTTGCTATTGGAGTTCTTTAGCCATTTGTTAATCATTCAAATCAAGAGGTAGGTTTTCTTCTACATCATCAATACTTTCAACAATAATAAGAGAACAACAGGTATTTCATTTTCATTATGAGGGAATACGATTTTTGTATGGAACCAATATCTTTTGATTGTTTTAGCTAATACTTCACTCCAAGCAATCTTAATCCATTTTATAGCCTGCAATCAATAGAATATTAGTATAAATTTTTTTTTCAATCTATTAATTGGTCTTTGGTTAGTTGCAACTAGATTTAAGGTGCTCTCAAGTATCTCTATCTATGTGATTAGCTAATGATCAAGATTATGCACAAAGTACTATAATTAATTTAAGTAATCCTCATGACAATTCTGCTAAAGATTTATGTTGCAAAATGTAGATATTAAATTTTAGCCAATCAGCATAACTCTATAATAAAAAAGATGGTTTTTGACAATCTTTTTTTGTTCATTATGATAATAAACTCATTTGATTAACTAGACTAATTTTCACTAATTAAAAATTGAGCACTGATATATGAATTTAGGTGCTTGAGAGCATCCTTAATGGAATTAACTATTTTTTTTTTTTTTTTTTAATAGGCTAACCATTTTTAATTTGTATCACTATCTGCAATTGATCTATTTTATAGATACCTTTTCCTCTAGCTTCATCATGATTAATTGCGTGTTGAAGTTAAATATGATGATAATGAAGTTTGAATAATGCAATAATACCAGTATCTATTGGTTGTATTTTGGATGCTGTATATGGAGGTAATGTGAGTACTTTCACATTAGTCAAAATAAGAGCACCAGTAATATGCGAAGGAGCACCATCAAGGATAAGTAAAATATGATGGTTTAATTCTCTCATTTCTTTGTCTAATTTTTTCATCCATTCTTGAAAAAATATGGCTATCATCCATGCTTTTTTATTATTACGGTAATAGAACTTGAGCTCTTTATCTGTTTTTTTTTTGAAACATCTAGATTTTGTAAAATGCCCAATAATAAGAGGTTGAAGTTTGTAGGTACTATCTGCATTGGCTATAAATACAATTGTAAGTCTCGTACAATCTTTTTTCGACTCTTCAATTTGGCAAGACGCAATTGTATAGTCAGGAGCTATAACATAGAATAGACCAGTCTCATCCATGTTATAAATATCGCAAAAAGAATACTAATTAGTAGTATTAATGATATCGAGAAGTTTTAGGTTTATAACAGCAATATCAGCGAAACCACTCTCACCATGCAACTTAAAATGATAAAAATTATATCTTTCTTGAAAAGCCTGCAACCACCTGTTTGAAAATTCAGGCTGATCACTCTCAGAGATCTTTATTAAGGAGGGGTGAGTTAATAGAAATCAAGCAAAATTTGGTTAGTAAATTTTTTAAACCTTTAAACTAAAATTACTTAACAAAATTTTGATTAAAATTTTGTTAAGTTATTTGTATTCAAACCTTTAAAAACATTTTATTATAAAAATTTGCTTGATTTCTATTGACTCATTCTCATTAGATCTGCTAACCTTTTACCCTTCGCTTTAATCATGTCTCTATTCAAACATATAGCCCAATGTTCACACTGTAGTACCTAGTTCGCCAAAGCAGTATCTAGTTCAGAGAACATAATAATATGATGCTTTTTAATTTCAAGGTCAGCTGCTGATATTTTGTTGAACTTATCTTTTCTCTTTAAAATGTCAGAAATTGTACTTTGGCCAGGGGCTTTTGCTAGCTTGATTTCATTTTTGGCCTACTCTGCAAGTTCTTTCTGAGTAATTGCCAGATTCTTTTGATAATGGTTATATATTATTTTTCTTTGGTTATTACACAAGTTTTTAGCTAAAATGACTTTATTCTTTTTTTTTCCCATTATATTAGAGTGAAAGTTGAAAATACAAAAATTAACCCAATATTCTTTTTTTTTAGTTTTTATTTTTATTTTATTTTATTTTAATTTTTTATTTTATTTGATGGCAGTTTTTATTTGAATTCACTACCATTAAGATTACAATATATAATATTATAGTTCTACTAAATTATGTATTTTTTTTTTTTTTATGATTCGATTTTTTTATAATAGTAACAGATTAGTATAATGTAGATAATGCAAAATATCTCTACTTTAAAACCTGTACTATACTAATCCGGTGCTATATATTACCGTAAATGGCCATATTAAAGATCCTCCTGAATAATAAACCCACCAGATACTAGACCTGGGTGCAGTTCTCAGGTTGAAATGTAATTCTTTTCGAACATTTAGATTGCATATTATAAATGCAAAGCATGTATGCATTTCAAATTTTTACTTTCTATGATACAAGCTCTTAGCCATGTACTAGACCCAGATCTATAATAGGTTTTAAAATTAGTGGAATGTAACAGACCCAGGTCTTTTATATAGCCATTTATGGTATTTGGGTTAGAAATTATAGCAGATTTGTATAGTATAGTTTTTAAAATAAGCATTTAACCATTATATTCATACAACTCTTTCTAATGATCCCTCATACCAAAATTACAACAAACCTTTTTTTCAAAAAACAGTAAACTATGGAAGCAAAGAGTGGCAGAAGAC